TCGAAAACATCATCAGTCTTATATTCTAATCATATTTGGAAACCTCATCAGCGGTAATTCCCCCCCCCCCCCCAAACAAATCTGATATTGATTGGTTTGGAACTATTGTTATATCATTGAGTTTCTGACTGACATACAGACATATTGGCAATTGTAGTATTTTGTAACGTTGCCTTCTGTGTGTCAGTCAGCGACTCAGCGATACCCGGAAACATCAGTCTTAATATTGAATCGTCTTCTTTATGGAACAGTTGGTCTTTATTATTAGTAATTTTAAGGTTCGTATTCCTCATGCCATGGAGATTACTACTATAGTCGATAACCCGACCAACTCAGCTTGTCGCCGGAAATGTTACTTGGATTCGATTTTCAGGGGAGTAAACTATAGTCCTCCGCTTCAAACCTAGTCATGTGTGACAGTGACAAAATAGTCATAGAGTTCTTGATCTGGGTAATTTTGCTTGTTGATTCCATTTCATATGATATTGCATTCGCATTAAAAAGGTTCTTTTTGTGTGACATGAATTGATATTTACATTCTTCGATAAGTTTATTATACCTTCTCACATCGTATTCATTCCCCAAAAAGGAGATAAAAAGAAAAATGGATTCCTGAAAATAATGTGGGCTTACAAAAGAAATCCCGTAGATTGCCAATCTTTCAAGAAGGCCCACGTATCCGGGGACGTCACCGGGCAGATTAACATGCATACCAAAATATACTACAAGAAAAATATAAATATTGGTAATCAAATATTTTTGTGTTACAGGCAGATTATAATCATTGTTAGTGTCATACATAGACCTGTCACTAGGGTCTCATCCCAATTGGAATAAGGACCTACTCTATTCCATTATTATTAAAACAAATTTGTTATAATTTATCTGTTTTTTTTTTCAAGTTTCATTGCAAAATTTAATATCTTATGTTATATAATTAATTATATTTTGTAACATTTTTTTACTAGTCAATTTATTTTTGGTTAGATATTAAATAATGGTTTTTGTATAGCTAAAACAAAATTTATGTAGTTCTTAAACTCGCGTTTTTATTTAAACCATACAAAATAGTTTTGTTCCTTGAAAAACATTTTATGAAGCCAAAAATTCTAAAATACAGAGTTTTGAGAATGAATTTTGCAAATTTTTTGGTTACTACATTTAGATGATCGACCTGCACCGTGTGCAGGTATAATTTTATTTTTGCTAACTACGTTAACATTGGTATTTAGTTGAAAACTATCTCCATATTTTTTATTTTGGAAACACAAGTTTTCACGTGAATATTACTTCAAAAGTATGTGATCCTCTTAAAATAAACCAACCCATAATATATAGCATATAAATGATAATAATGTACACAAATCATGTGAAAAGSTACTAAGGCATCACTTTTTAAGATTTTCTTTCGTGGTTGTAGTTAGACAGTTTTTTTTTTTTACTAAGTTACTCTCGATTTGTTTTATCAATCTTTGTTGTCTTTGSTTTGACCATGTAGTCAATTATGATGTAGCTATTGTCTCATAATCTTCTCCACGAAACGTGTGATGTTGCAGTCGTCAAGAACCAAGAAGATAAACTTTATAGAATTCAACCCAGTAGAGACGCAGAAACATTGAAGTACAAAACAAAGATGACATATTACATAGAGGAACCATCAAACAATCAAACACACGAGATTTAAAAGCAATCAAATAAAATGAGTTTGAGACATAGGTATATAATATATCTTTGGGCCATTGAGCCATTGAGTAATATATCTTTCATCGATTCACTATACTTGTTTAGATTTATGTTTGTGAAATCTGGAAAAAAAAACAAATTAAAAAAAATGTAAATTAAGGAAAAATCTAAACATAGTTTGCAGTAGGTTACATATTCATCAAGCTCCCAACCACACAAAAAGCTTGCTCCATCGATTATGATATTTTTAATGTATCATCGAGTTCATTAAGGTGGATCTCTAAACGGACGTCACTGTATATTTTAAATAAACATTAAAGTATGTATAAAAAATCCATAATAAATTTGTTAGAAGTATATATTACTTACAGTGCATCTCGTAGCAAAACATCCACCTTTGTGCTTGTGGTCTTCTTTCCCTGGGATTTTAGGTTTTCGATAGGTCCAACATTCAGTATTTGAGCAACAACATCTGCATTGTGATTATAAATGTCACATTAAATATAAATAATCAAAGTAGGAGTTAATAAATGAATTAGTTAAATAAATAGGGATGACATTACTAATCAAGACATCTTTGTTTAGAGATATACCCTTAATGTCTTGAAAGTCGGTGAAATATTTCTCTCGAAATGGTTTTGGTGATTCATCYACCAGTTTGATTATCGTTGTTCGAATAACCAGAATCTTGTAAGGGAGTTCGTTGGTCCTATAGTCTCCACAATAGTCTTTAAGATGGAAATTTTTGAACGTCACGCAATTACCTTGTTTGAAATCGTTAATAACCTTTTGATATTTTTTAAGCATATCATCTTCAATGGTTGTGTGGATTCTTGTTCCCTGTATGAAAAAACATCAAATATTTTAAAATTGGAAGAAAATATCATCTTTAGAAGAAGGTAAATCAATTAAACCAACCGAGCATTTTTATATGAAATCGGCATACGAAAAAAATACATGTCAAGACAATACATATCAAGAGAAACAAGATTAACGTATTTATTTGAAGCTTACTTTTCATGCAAGGCAATATTTAATAGATTAATCTTATTTTTTATGCAAGACAATACATACGAAGAGAAGCAAGATTAAACTATTAACCACATGTCAAAGGCAATACATATCATGAGAACAAAAATACATATCACGCGTGTGCAATTCAATAATAAAAAAAAAGTATGAAATTGACATATGAATAACTAACCTCTTCATCTACCAAAACCATTTCAATGGAATTTCCAGTAGGCTTAAATGATTTTCACAAGACAAGAATATGAGCTTTGATTTTTTGTTTTTCATTTGATGTCAAAATATTTTCAAAGAGTACGAAAGAAGAGTTTTTGTCTGGTGTGATAAACATTATGATACTAAAATGAAAAAACAGGAAGCMAYAGATGTGAAGTTTGTTATTGTGATGATCAACCATATTTATAGGTAGAGTTCTTGAGGGTAGAATTTTGTTTGATTTTATTAGATATTATTTTGTGATTTTGTAAGATATTAAATTAGGATATTSTAATTGGATCCTTAAAAACCCCCAAGATCTCGTGTTAGTGTAGATATGTGAACCGAATATTTGATTGTATTGATATATGTTTATAAAGCAAATCTTGTGTTTGTAACAAACGTAAAATGTTTTTTTTTAATAAAAAATAAACTGTAAAATGTTTTTAGGCAAAAACAAAAAATCTGATAATATCTATTAAAATCCGTAACTTTCATTTATTCCGTAACTTCCATTATAAAAAATATTTTTAAAGCAAATCTGTGTTTTTTATAAATGTAAAATGTTGTTATGCAAAAAAAAAAATATCTAATAAAATATTCTGGTGATTTGTTTCAATACCTCTATTTGGCGAATATGCGAACTTCACGCAGCATGTATCACAATGGGTCGTTACGCAGCAGAGAACGTCACTGGCTCACAAGAGGAGTCTACTTTCCTCGACCAATTCCGATCCAAATTCGCAGACGTCAGATTCTTCCTCCGGAACCCTATCCAGGGTCCGCGCCACAAGTACTTCCCTCACCACAAAGACTTCCTCTCTACTTTTCTCAACCGATTCATGTCCAAATTCTCCGACGTCAGTTTCTTCCTCCGGAACCCTATTCTCTCCAACTTTGTCTACACTCCAACTGATGTTCACACAATCTTCACAAACCCTAATCTCCATTCTCCCATCGTGAAAGGTTTGTCTAAATTTTTTCACTTTATGCAATTGTTTGA